CGTGAGAGCACTGAGGCTCAGAGAGGTAAAAATGACTGACTCATCAGAGACCCCACAATTAGGCAGCACAGACACAAAAATTTGAATCCAAGTCTCTGACTCCCAGCTAGGTTTTTTCCCTCTGAGTGGCAAAGCCTCCGCTTATCCAGTATAACCTGCAAATAACCCTGGGAGAGATAACACCCTTGATTTTTGCTCACTCACAGGGTTTCTGCAGAAGTGAGTAAAAGGGTCTGAAATGGGTCAAGGAGAGGGAAAAGGTCAAAAGAGCATCCTGAAGAAAAAGAGAAAGTGTGCCCTCTTGGCACTTTTTTCTCAGGCTGAACCCTGGGGTTGGGGGTGGGGGGGCAGAGTCAGCTAAGCCTGGGGCACAGAGCGGTGATGTGGCCCAGGGAGAGGCAGGGCGGGGACAGTGAGTGAAGTCAGGACTGAGAATGACCCGAGAGGTGATGGAGGAAGTGATTATGACCAGGAAATAAGCTTGCTGAAACCACCCTAGGAGGATCACCAAAACATTCCTGGCATCCGATGGCATTTAAGAAATAGTGACTGTTACATCTTTAAGATGTGCCACTCATTTGCCTGACCACTCAGTCTTTTCAGTGACTCTGAAAAGTGGTTGTTCCTATTACCTTTTTACACAGTAGGAAACTAAAGCTCAGACAGCTGAGAGAACCTGCTCAATGACTCTCAGCAAGGAAGTGAAAAAACCCAAATATCCTACAGATCTGCCTGGTGCCCCAGCCCTCCACTGTGCCATCCTGCAGTCAAATATAGTCCCCAAAATGTGGCCAAGTAATCTGGGGGCCACAGAGATCACACATGTTCTGCTAGGTGAAAAGGTTCCCACAATACCGAAAAATGTCAGAGGAAGATGACAGTAATCCTGCCATTGGGTGGATGCAGTATTAATACCTCCTGCATGTCTGGGCAGCCGGACTGTGCAATTCCAGCTTGAACGTTCCCAAGTCCACTTCCAGAGCCTACAGAGGCCTGTGTCTGGTCCTGCCTGACAAAGGTAGACCGAGTGCAGAGGAGTGACCAAGGATCTGCTTTCCAGCGTGGGGAGTGAGCCGAGTAAATGTGAGCTAGGCTCTCCTCCCACCGCTGCCCAGAGGCTGGATCTGGGATGGGGAGGGAAGGGGCAGGGGCAAGCAGTGGTCAGGGGCCTCTTTCTGCGGTCTTTGTCTGAGCCCTGTAATGATAAGCACAGGCCTGGATGGCAGTATAATTATTTGTTTTTAAACATAAAACTAGTGCAGAGAAGGGCTTCCCTGGTGGCTCAGACGGTAAAGAATTCGCCTGCAAAGCAGGAGACCCTGGTTCGATCCCTGAGTCAGGAAGATCTCCTAGAGGTGGAAATGGCAACCCAATCCAGTATTCTTGCCTGGAGAATCCCATGGACAGAGGAGCCTGGCAGGCTACAGTCCATGGGGTCACAAAGAGTCAGACGTGACTGAGCGGCTAACACTTTCACTTTCAGAGAAGAACTTAATTGTTCAAAAGGAAAATGGCATGCCAAGCCTCTCCAAAAGGGGCCACTCTAAACAGTTTCCTGAGGGTACAAGTGGGACCCTGGGATGCCAAAGGCCAGCAGTGTCCCAGCCCAACCATCAGCCCCCTGTTTGCATTGTCAAGCGCTCAGGGCGCTGAGCGTTGGTCTTGCCAAGCAGGAAATGCCAGGAAGAGCAAGAAGGAGGGAAAGGAAGCCAGGGTGTTTGGAGAAGGGGGCCAAGAGTGGAACGTTGGGGGTGAGGTGGAGACAGGGGCTTTGGGAAAGGAGCAGGGTACTTATACGGAGTTTCCAGAAGCCTCCACCAGCCCTGCGTCCTGTAAACCCCTTCTCGATCTCTATGGGAAACCAGCAGTGAAGTCTATTGTTGAGACTTCCATTTCTGGCAATACAGAGGACCAGACTGTGCATGCTCTTTATTCATACATTTCATGATAAAGAAAGTCAAAGAGAGGGACTTCCCTGGCAGTCCAGTGGCTAAGACTCCGCACTCCCAGTGCAAGGGGCACAGGTTCAATCCCTGGCCAGGGAACTAAGATCCCACATGCTGTGCAGTGTGACCAAAAAATGAAAGTAAAGAAAATCAAAAGCAAAATGCACATGCTTGTTAACAGCTCAGGACTGGGTTTGTGGAGGGAGGTGGTCAGGCTAGGCTATGCTGAGCCTAGCCTCAGTTCAAGAGTTGGTAACAGTTCAGGACTGGGTTTGTGGAGGAGGCGATTGGTAACAGCCCAGGGGGTGGTCGGGTGACACTGAGTCTAGGTTTGTGGAGCGGGTGGTCAGGCTACGCTGAGTCCAGCCTCAGCTCAAGAGCAGGGCAGCTGCAGGGTTGGTTCTCACTGGGCAACAAGTCTGTGCAATTTCCTCCCTTCCCTCCTGTTTCTCTCTGGCCATTTCCTCCTCTCCTTTCACCGTATCTATCTCTACCTATCAGTTTATCTTCTATTTATCATTTACTCACCTTTCGTGCACAAAGTGGATTATATTCTGTTTATATTATAATTATATTATATTTTAAATATATATATATTTTTAAAAATTCAGTACCATCTCATGGACAGCTATGCCAGCCCATGATCATCTTATACAAAGGCTGTCAGTTTTAAGAGCAACATTCTCTGAGGTTAGAGAAGTCTCATGTCTTCCAGAGCTAGTCTGGAAGAGATCGCATATCTTCCACCAGCTTCTGCGGCTGGCAGGCCTGCCATTCATCCACTCTGTTTTCTCACATGCCTTTATTGGCTTCTCACAGTAGCCAAGCTTCCAGCGCCCCGCCTCTCTGGGCTCACAGGTGAAGAAGGCCCCTTCACGTTCTCAACCTCCCTGCTGTCTCACTCGGCTTCCCTGACTGGTTCCTGCCCTTCAGATCTGCCCGCACCTCTTGGCCTGAGCTCGTGCACTTCACTGAGCTTGGGACGCCTCGCCCCCAGCATCAGCAGCTCCTCCTTCATCTTCCTGGGGTCTTTGCCCCAGCGTCACATTCACACTGCAGTCCTCACTCTACCCCAGGCACCCTCCACTCTCCTCCCCTGCATTCTTTCCACCCCTAGCTGACATGCTGTGCCTTTTGCTTGTTTATTGGCTGTCTCCCCCTCTTCCTCCCACTAGAATGCCAGCTCCATCAGTGCATTTTTAACCTCTATTATTTTAATCACTATTACTTGCTGCTTTTTAGTCTCTATTATTCTCAAGTGACGTTAGTGGTAAAAAACCTATCTCCCAATGCCAGAGACGTAAGAGACACAGGTTCAACCTCTGTGTTGGGAAGCTCCCCTGGAGGAGGACATGGCAACCCACTCCAGTATTCTTGCCTGGAGAACCCCATGGGCAGAAGAGCCTGGAGGGCCACTGTCCACAGGTTGCCAAGTGTCAGACACAACTGAAACCACTTGGCACACACATATGCCCAGAACAAGGCCAATCAAGGCATGTGTGAGAGCTAAGTTGCTGCAGTCGTGTCTGACTCTGTGTGATCCTCCTCCATGGGGATCTTCCTGAGCCAGGGATTGAACCCACAGCTTTTACATCTAACCTGCATTGGCAGGCAGGTTCTTTACCATTAGCACCACCTGGGAAGCCTGGTTAATCAGAGATGTTCACTAAATATTGGTTGAATTGAATCCAATATAAAAGTTGATTTCTGTGGGTATGCTGCATCCTTGCTTGTTGAAGAGGGAGAAGCACTTCCTTTAAGCCAGCTCTGAAGACCCTTCATGAATTTGCCTTCTGACCACCCGTGTCCTCACTGCCCCTTTGCTAGCTGGACTCATCCTCCAGATGCCATGGTACACCCTGGTTGGCATCCAGCCCCCAAAGGTCACGTCCTGTCCTGCATCTCTACCCAGAGAACCCTACCCTGGATAACTTCTACTGGCCTCCAGGCACAGCTGTAAATGCTCACTCTTGCAGGGGGTGTTTTCTCCCCTGGCCAGGTGATAGGACCCCTGGGCTCCTCCAGTCTCCTGGGTTCCCCTCTCTGGCTCCTATCTGTCACCCTTCTCCCAGAGGCCTGCACCTTCCTCTGCCTCCCTAGGGGCTTCCGACCCAAGTGCCTGGCACACAGAAGGGGTCACACATCGGTACCGGGAGAGAGGGTGAAAGGCAGAGTGAAGTGGCACTTACAGGGGATGGGAGGGTGGGCAGGGGGGACTCACCTCCAGCAACATTGGGTCAAAGGCTGCTCTAGCCCTGATCCAATCATGAAAGAAAGTCTCCACTCATGAAAGAATTGAGAAACAGATGAGCAATCAAATGCCTGAGTCCGGAGTAATGATGATTAAGGAATGCTGGGAAAAGGCATTATTACATGGCTCCAAAAGCATTCAAAAGCTCTTCAGGAGAGTTCAAGAGAGTGGTTTGGGCAGGCGGGGCCTGACTCTTATCAGAAGATGCCAGACCCCTCATTCCTGCCCCGTTAGGTCACCGTGAGCTGAGAGCAAGGCTCCCTGTCATTGTTTGCACTTCACCTTAGCTCACCCTCTTTTGAAAGGTGATGACGGCCAGATCTGCAGAAGGTCCCTGTGGGTAGGTCTTAATATTAGTATTAGTATTAGTATTAGTATTGGCCACTCCTAGCTGGCAAGTGGGATTTTATTTTCTCTGACCATGGATCAAGCCAGTGTCGCCTGCATTGGAAGCAACGAGTCTTAACCACTGGACTGCCAGGGAAGTCCTGTGGGTAGGTTTCTAAAGTGGGAGAATGTCATCTATAAAATGGGATAATAATCATGAGACAAGATTTCTCTCCTGAAACAATTAAAGAGATGAAATAAGATCCTGCCGGCGCGATGTGGGGTACTGGGCTTGGCATATATGAATAGTAAACCCTCAACAAACACGGGAAGGCATGGTTAGTGCGTGTTTTTCCTCCAGAACTGCAGCTCCCTGAAGCGGGAAGAGGATGTCTGCCTCTGCAATGTTCCCAGACCCTGAAATACCGCCTTGCACGCAGTGCGCACTCAGTACTCAGATGTCAGAGGCGGATTACCTAACCTTCTTCCGCAGCAGGGCCGGCTCTGGGGTCCGGCGCTTGTTCCCACCGCTGCCGGTGCTGCAATCTGCCCATTTCCCCAACTGCGGCTCCGCGCAGCTCTGACAACGCAGTGACTGCCCGCGGGGCACATGACTCTCAGGGTACTTTTCTAACTGCTCCCAGGGGCCGAGGAATCCCCAGGGCCTGGCTCATCAGGACCGGCCGATGACTGGGACCCAGCGTGGTCTGCCTTCCTGGTCAGCAGGCTGATCTGGAGGTGCCATTTGGGGAGGGGAACAGAACAGGCAGCCCCGGGGGCAGGGGCGAGCGCAGGCCCCCTGAAGCAGGAAGGAAGCGTCTCTCACCACAGCCCCTCCCTCGTCTGACCCCGAGTCTGCCTTCATCCTGGAAGGCGGTTGGGCTCTCTGCTGGAGTCTTAGCTAACCTCTGAAGGTCAAGTTCGTGGACCATCTGTCAATACTAATGGCCAACTTTGATGGAACACTTACTCTGTGCCAGGTCCTACACTAAATGAAAAGATTTTATTTCATTTCTTCTAAAGAGACACCCAACTGTTCTCCAAACATTCTGTCCTTTGAAGCATCTGGGCCTCGGCACAGGCTGTTCCTCAGTTTGAAAGGCGCTTCCTCGTTTTATGTGCCTGGTGAATACTCACTCTTCAGCACCCAGCACTCTCTGTCTCTTCCCGCTGGAAGCTTTCTTAGCTTGCCCGAGACAATAAAATCAGAGCCGCCGGCGGGTCTCCACCGTCGTTGTGTGGGCGTTGTGTCTGTCTGCACCTGAGGTGTGACCCCCAGTGCTCCAGGCCGCGCTTTCGCCTCCTATCCTCCCTGTCCAGCTCCACATCCAGCTGGGGCGCTGGGAATGCCGGTCCCTGCTTTTTCAGTGCCTTGGCTCATCATCTCTGTCCTTTGTGTGCCCCTTATTACTGGTCTTTATTCCAAGTACAGTGCTTATTACATGCTGCTGCTGCTGCTAAGTCGCTTCAGTCGTGTCCGACTCTGTGCAACCCCATGGACGGCAGTCCACCAGGTTCCCCTGTCCCTGGGATTCTCCAGGCAAAAACACTGGAGTGGGTTGCCATTTCCTAGGTATTTATAAATGTAAGTTGAATGACATAAATGAAACTGTGATCTTATTTCAGGTACCAGATGGGAAGTGTTGAATTATTTTGCTGTAGACTGCTTGGTTACCTCTAGCAAGAAATCATCAGAATAGATAGGGAAAGAGGAAGTCAGAAGAAGGAAGAGAATGGGAGAAAGCGCTGGAACCAACATTTTCTGAGCACCTAAAGGTGCCAGGGTTGTGCTTCATTAACTCTCCACTATAATCCAGTGAAGTATTACAATCTCCTTTGTATAGACCAAACAATGAGGGCACAGAGAGGTGACGTGTTCTGCTTAAGATCACACAGCTAGCAAGTGGCAGAGCTGGGATTTGAGCCCATCTGCCTAGTTCCACCCGGAGAAGGCAATGCACCCCACTCCAGTACTCTTGCCTGGAAAATCCCATAGACGGAGGAGCCTGGTAGGCTGCAGTCCACAGGGTCACTAAGAGTTGGACACAACTGCGCGACTTCACTTTCACTTTTCACTTTTCATGCTTTGGAGAAGGAAATGGCAACCCACTCCAGTATTGTTGCCTGTCCCAGAGACGCGGGAGCCTGGTGGGCTGCCGTCTACGGGGTCGCACAGAGTCAGACGCGACTGAAGCAACTTAGCAGCAGCAGTAGCAGCCTAGTTCAGTATGAGAAGGTGGGGAAAGTGAGGAGGGGCTGCAGGACTAGCGGAGAAGGAATGGGATACGTCTGTCCTGTGGATCAGACCCAGACCCAAGTATGCGCTGTTCCTGCCTTAGTTTCCCAGAACAGACATTGGCTGGCCTGTGTACCCACCCAGACTCCTCCAATACTTTTAACTGCTTTCCCTTGAGACAGTTCCTTTATTTAAAAAAAAAAATTGAAGTACAGTTGATTTACAATGTTGTGTTAACTTCTGCTGCAGCAAAGTGACTCAGGTATACACACATATACATTCTTTTCCATTCTGGTTTATCCCAGGACATTAATGAGAGTTCTCTGTGCTATATGGTAGGACTTCGTTGTCCATCCATTCTATACACGATAGTTTGCATCTGTCAACCCCCAACTCCCAGACCATCCCTCCGCCTCCCTTAACCCTTCAGTTCAGTTCAGTCGCTCCGTCAAATTTTTGTGACCCCATGGACTGCAGCATGTTAGGCCTCGCTGTCCATCACCAACTCCTGGAGCTTACTCAAACTCATGTCCATTGAGTCAGTGATGCCATCCAACCATCTCATCCTCTGTTGCCCCCTTCTCCTCCCGCCTTCAATCTTTCCCAGCATCAGGGTCTTTTCAAATGAGTCAGTTCTTCGTATCAGGCGGCCAAAGTATTGGAGTTTCAGCTTCAGCATCAGTCCTTCCAGTGAACACCCAGGACTGATCTCCTTTAGGATGGACTGGTTGGATCTCCTTGCAGTCCCTTGGTAACCACAAATCTATTCTCAGGGTCTGTGAGTTGAGACAGCTCCTCTTTACAAGTAGCTTCTTTTTTTTTTTCCTAACATCAGTCCTGTCCTAAACACTTCCCTCTCAGTCCCTGGCCCACAGTTTGGGTACCTCTGACCCCATAAGATTGTGCAACACTCGCTGAGGGCTCCAAGAACCCGCAACTTCTCAATAATGCTGAACTGGGTGAAATTTCCCAGTAACCTCCTCCCCCGTCTGACTAACTCTCTCTTAACTTGGCAATGCAATGTCCTATTTTTAAGGAACCCAGTCATTTGGTTTAGATTCTTTAGTTGTTTTATTTTAATGACCTTCTGAATCATTCATTTTTCTTCTTTTGAACTGATTCATTCTTGGCCACTTCCTTGTATAGATATCCAACCCCTCCTTTAAGACTCAGCACCAACCACCCCCTTCTCCTGAAAACCCTCTTCATCCATACCATCCCTCTCCAGGAAGAGATATTCCTCTCCTCTTTTTCTGAACCATTCATCTGGCATTTATTATATTGACATCATCCTTGTCCTAAATATAAAAATGATATGCCAGCTATTTGAATTGTTTCTTATCGTTCTCGTGATGACTCTAGAAAGAAAGTAATTATCATTTCCATCTAAATGTAGTGAAATTGAACCTCAGGGAGCTTACTAAGCCTCCTGCTCCAGGTCACATGAAATTAGTAAAGAAGCCAAGATGTTAAGCCCAGCACGACTGTAGAAGTGTAGGAGTGTCTTGAAATGGAACTATTTGTGTGTGGGTGCCTGCCTCTTACTGCGATGTCTGTCGCCACCATCTCCCCGCTCCCCAGACGGTAAGCTCTGTGAAGCCCTTGTTCCCTATTGCATTGTGTGCAATAAATATCTGCAATAAATAGCTGATGTTCCATAGATGTTGACCAATGGCTAGGAGACTTCCTGTCCCTTCTATAGAGTTAGCTGTTCCAAGCTTTACACAATCTTTGCATGCTTACAACATCAAGAGCCTGATAGCAAAAACAATCACTACGTATTGACTAAAGGAAGTAAGAGAAAGGCATGGGCTTGGAAGATTCCAGTGGACATATTTTCCAGTTGAAAACTTTCAATCGGAAATTTAAAAAATTCTCTCTCTAGCTCAGGACCCATGCTGCCAGACAAGACCTCCTCCTCATCACTTTTCTGGGTTGAACCAACATTTAACAAACTAAGGGTTCAACTTAAGCTCACTCCACCCATCTTTAATGGATGTGTACCCTCAGCCAGGCCCGGTGCTCACTCATAGACTAGTGCTGAAGTTGGCTCTGTGAGCAGCTCCCCAGGGGGAGGTCTTCTGGATGCCCACTCCCCCTCCACTCCTCTGCAATGCAAACTCCATACTGCCTTGAGAGCAGGCAAGGGTGGGGCCTTGGAAACAGGGGGACAGACGGGCAGTGGCTCTGTCTGGTCAAAGAGGAACTAGGCAGGAAAGATCTCAACAAGACAATAGCCTCCAAGAAATTAATGCAAGCAGTGATGTGGAGACCTGGGGAAGACTGTATCCATGCTTCAAGTAGTAGGAAGACAGGTTTTGGACCAGGAAGCAATAACGAAGACCTGGATGAGGGAAAGGTCTGGGAAGGACATTAAAAGTAAGAAGCCATGGGACTTCCCTGGTGGTCCCGTGGCTAAGACTCTGCATTCCCAATGCAGGGGGTCCAGGCTTGATCCCTGGTCAGGGAATTAGATCCCACATGAGGCAATGAAGATCAAAGATCCCGTGTGCCGCCACCAAGACCTGGTGCAACCAAATAAATAAATAAATAAATAAATCCTGCTGAGGATAGCACGTGGAGGCAAAGAGAGTTAAGGCTCCCTTTACCATCCAACTGAGTGCTTTCTCTTCAAATCATGCTCTGTTATCAACATTGTCAGCCCTGCTTTCTTTTGCTCCTCTTTTCCTGACTATCATGTCTTTCAGCTGTAACCCCCCAGGGATACTTGGACCCAGGTGGGTCTTCTGTTACCAGCATTTCTTTGGTCATTTGGTTCGGAGGTTTGGGGGCCAAATTGTGAGCCTTGTCTTTTGACAGGAGCATTCTTCCAGGGAAGCAGCAGAGCCCAGCGGTTACCACAGGCTGCTGGGCTGGAGGGTCTGCTGACAGCCTGCCAATATTCAGCAGGGCACGCGGTGCACACCTGGTGCTCTCTCGCCCGTTCCCAGCCCAACGGTGAGTGAGAACGGAGCATCTCCACTGGACAGGGGAGGAAACTGGGGCCCAGAGACGTGAAGCCAGCTGCTCAAGGCCACCCAGCAAGGATGCTGAGCTGGCCTGCTCAGAGACCTACACGTTTGGGTGAGCCAATGACTGTCTTTGAGCCTCTTAGATTTGGCTGGAAAGGCAGGGAGCTCTCACTCCTTTTCATGGTCAAGAGTGAGACTCGGGGACTTCCCTGGAAGTCCAGTGGTTAAAACTCTGTGCTTCCAACAGAGCAGGCACAGGTTCCACCCCTGGTCAGGGAACTAGGTTCCCGTATGCTACCTGGCATGGCCAAAAATAAAAGAATGAAACTCAGACATGTTGATGGCAAAGCAAAAACAATAATGGTAGTAATACTGCCAGCAAGTATTCAGAACTCACTATGTGCCCAGCACCATGCCACTGGCTTT